GAGGATGGCTCATCTCCACACCCCCAAYGTGTCTCCTGCCACCTCCCTCAGCTCCTGGTCCTGTTTTCCATTCCTGGAATTGTGACTGAAGTGATTCCTCCCGATTCCTCCATACCCTATGGAATCCCCACAGATTCCTCCACAGATTAAGCCGTGTTTTCTCAATGTTTCATCTCCCATCCCCAAGCTCAGCCCTGCCCTCCTCCTGGAGCAGCCCTAACGAGCATGCCAAGGAGACAATCAATGGAATATTGTCCTTAATGCATCAGCCCCATCACAACAGGCTTTATCACTGCCAGGGTCAACACACAAAGTGATACCTGCTATTCATCAATGACAACTGCAGCCTGAACTTCCCTGCCTGTAAATACCTCATCTAGCTCCTCTTTGGAGGAGATGCATTAAAAAAAAAGAAAGAAATCAGGATTTATCTGTTCATTTTAGGGATATCAGTCAGGCTTACAGGGGGCTAAATCCTCGAGTCTTTATCCAGACAAAGCCTGGGAATTGTGCTTTGATCAGGGAATCTTCATTTAGCTGTGCAAAGTGGCAGCTCCAGGATGCTGAGCTCTGCTTGTACTCTCAGTAGTGTGCTCCTCGTGCTCAACTGATATTTCAATATTTAAATGAGTTTAAGTGCTTTGATCCTCACCATTAAGGGGATGTGTGGACAAGGTGAACAGAAATGCAGAGATTGTGTAAGGATACACGGGATTGAGACAGCCAGGACGAATCACTCTCAAAACAGCCTGTCCAGCACTTTAAACACAAGGTTTAACAGCTGAAGAGAGGCTGGGGATGGGGCAGGAAGATGAACTTCATGGAAAATCCAGGGGKAACTTTCCACTGAAACACTCATGAGTGAAACAGCCATGACAGCTACAGGGCTTTCACAGAAACACMCACACTCCAGCTGAGGAGGCAACCTGGTCCCAAAACACATGGAAACCACACTGAACTCCCCAAAAATTATCAGCCTGGAACTCCTCATTCCCACATTCCTCCTGCCAGCCAGCCCTACTAACCCCCACCCCAGTTCCCCCCATTCCCAGTTACCTGGCGTGCATCTCACAGAGTTYGGTGCCCATGCACTGGTCCCACACTCACATCCACCCCARTTTCTCCCAGTTTTGCCCCAGTTCCCCCATTCCCAGTTACCCGGCATGCGTCTCCCAGAGTTTGGTGCCCATGCACTGGTTCCACCCTCACATCCACCCCAGTTTCTCCCAGTTTCTCCCAGTTCCCCCATTCCCAATTACCTGGCACGCATCTCACAGAGCTTGGTGCCCATGTGCTGGTCCCACACTCACATCCACCCCAGTTTCTCCCAGTTTTTCCCAGTTCCCCCATCATTCCCAGTTACCTGGCGTGCATCTCCCAGAGCTTGGTGCCCATGCGCTGGTCCCAGACGCAGAGCAGCCCCTCCTCTCCCCCGCTGACGATTTTCCACTCGTCCATCTGCACGGCCGTCACCCCCAGCTGGTGCGCGTACAGGGAGCACACGGCCTCGCCGCGCCGCACGTCGAACACCCGCACCCTGTGCAAGAGAAAAAAGGGGGATGGAACCTCCAACCTGGGGGTTCTGCCAGCAGCAGGGATTTTGGGGTTATGGAAATCCATCTGGRACAGCAGCAGTGCCAGTGCTGCTCCGGGTCTGCAAAAGCAGCAGGGTCCGTCCTCCTCACCATGGAATTTTCACC